CGGGGCGGGCGCGGGGCGGCCCGGGGGGCGGCTGGCCTCCCTGCCCCCCCTCCGCGGCGGCGGCGGCGGCCGGGACGGGCTCGCTTGGCTTCTCCAGGTGCAGCAGTTTCAGTTTGCTCTTGGGCCCCGCTGCTCCGGTCTGGCTCTTAATCCTCTTCTCGTAGTCCAGGAGCTGCCCCAGAAAATTGAAGTTCGGAGATATAGTAGGTCTTTTTTCTTTCACAAATCTATGAAAAGAGGGAAAAAAGCAAAAAGGCTTGAGTTTGACGACTACCTGTTATCGTAAGAATGTTACTAAGCTACAGCAAGTGAGGAGCTGAGACGGGGAATCATCAGAGACCCTTCCAAGACCTTTGTCAGGTGGCTGGTTTAAAACTTCGGGGAGAGGGTCAAGGAGGAGACGAGGGCCTCTGCATCGGGGAGCTTTACAGCCTGAGCCCGGAGGTGCTAGAAAGCGGGGGGGCCAGGCCCCTAAAGTTCTAGGTTGAGCCTCCTTATTTTCAAGGACCCAAGGCTTCCAGTGCAACTGGTAAGAGATGCTTCTTCCCTCACCACCTGGGATGACTCCGCCCCTCCCCACCGGTGCTGCCGTCAGAAGTACAGCTTAATAGCCATGCGCCACCTTCAGCTTCCCAACATCAAAGGCCCCCACAGCCACTTCAAGACGTTGCACATTTTTAATTAACGATCAAAAGACAGAGTATCAGATGGCCAGGGCATCAAAGCACACAATTCCGAGTTCCTTTCCTTTGGATTCAGTGTGACAGAGTAACCAGCTACACAGTGGTCTCTGTCTGCTAAGCATTATGCTAATGCACTAAAGGGAGTATTCTCTCATTCGACTCTCAAAACTACCCTCTGTCAGGTGGGTGTAATTACCCCCATCACAGAGATACACAAAGTCCTTAGATGACTTGCCCCAAATCACACAGCTACTAAAGGATGGTGCCGGGATTCAAAACCAGGTCTAGGAACTTCCCTGGTGGCGCAGTGGTTAAGACTCCGCGCTCCCAACGCAGGGGACCCAGGTTCAGTCCCTGGTCAGGGAACGAGATCCCGCACGCGTGCCGCAACTAAGGAGGCGGCAAGCCGCAACTAAGGAGGCCACCTGCGCCGCTAAGACCCAGCGCAACCAAATAAATAAATAAACAGTAAAAAAGAAAAAACCAGGTCTGATGTCTGGCTTCATTTCTGTAACCACCTTGTTTAAAAAAGAGTCATCAAGGGGTCAAAACTAGTTATAAACAGCTTTTATGTTTCACTGTAGAAACAGAGACTCTAGAAATATATTTAGTGGCCCCTGACCCTTAAGGCCACTTCTCAGAAGATGCAGGAGTGAAACTACACTGAAAATTTATATTTGGATAAGGAAGGAAAGAGAAAAATCAAAAACTCCTTGGAAATCAGTAACCTAAAGCAAATTAATGAAGCCAGAAATAACTGCCTCAACCGTGACAAGTGTACATACAGGATCCTCGTGATGAGACCTTGTAACAGGATATAAGGGTGCCTTTCCTGCTGCTTTCTTCTGGGCGCAGGAGGACCTTAGGGAGAAGCCAGACTGGAGGACACGGAGCGATGCGGACACAGGGAGGACCCACCGCCTCAGCTCCTTCCTCAAGTGAGGAGCTGTTTAGGTAGCTCATTTCTTTCCTCCAGATTTTCCAATTTGAGAAGAAAGTCCAATTGTTACAGCAGGCCTGGCTCCACGTGCCTATATTTACTGATCCTTTATCACACGCAAACTAACCACCTCTATCCAACAGGATACACAGAGGACTCCGATTCACACGTCCCTGAACACAACCCCAGTCCTTGGTGCTGCTGTCACTGGCTGCCTTCTGTCTGGAGAAAGGGGGGTGGAGGCAACCCACTCAAAATTATATACTTCAAAATCTGGGCAACTCTATGCACAGCCACATGCAAATCAGGTTAGAGCACACCCTCACACCACACACAAACATAAACTCAAAATGGCTTAGAGACTTATGTATAAAGACATGACACCATAAAACTCCTAGAAGAGAACATAGGCAAAACATTCTCTAACATAAATTGTACCAATGTTTTCTTAGCTCAGTCTTCCAAGGCAATAGAAATAAAAGCAAAAATGAACAAATGGGACCTAATCAAACTTACAAGATTTTGCACAGCAAAGGAAACCATAAATAAAAAGACAACCTATGGACTGGGAGAAAATATTTGCAAATGATGATGTGACTAAAAAGGGCTTAATTTCCAAAATATACAAATAGCTCGTACAATTCAATAACAAAAAAAAACCCAATCAAAAAATGGGCAGAAGACCTAAATAGACATTTCACCAAAGGAGACATACAGATGGCCAACAGGTACATGAAAAACATGCTCATCATCGCTAATTATTAGAGAAATGCAAATCAAAACTACAATGAGGTATCACCTCACACAGGTCAGAATGACCATCATTAAGTCTACAAATAATACGTGTTGGAGAGGGTGTGGAGAAAAGGGAACCCTCCTTCACTGTTGGTGGGAATGTAAATTGGTGCAGCCACTATAGAGAACAGTATGGAGGTTCCTCAAGAAAACTAAAACTAGAGTTGCCATATAATCCAGCAGTCTCATTCCTCGGCATATCCCCAGACAAAACCATAATTTGAAAAGATACACGCACCCCTATGTTCACAGCAGCACTATTCACAATAGCCAAGACATGGAAACAACCTAAATGTCCATCAACAGATGAATGGATAAAGAAGATGTGGCGCACACGCACACACACATACATACAATGGAATGTTAACCATAAAAAAAGAATGAAACAATGCCATTTGCAGCAACATGGATGGACCTGGAGATTATCATACTAACTGATGTAAGTCAGAAAGAGAAAGACAAATACCATATGATATCACTTATGTGGAATCTAAAATACGACACAAGTGAACATATCTACGAAACAGAAATAGACTCACAGACATACAGAACTGACTTGTGGTTGATGAGGGGGTGGGGAGAGGAAAGGACTGGGAGTTTGGGGTTAGCAGATGCCAACTATTATATACAGGATGGATAAACAACAAGGTCCTATTGTATAGCCCAGGGAACAATATTCAATATCCTGTGATAGACCACATGGAAAAGAATATGAAAAAGAATATATGTATGTATAAATGAATCACTTTGCCGTACAGCAAACTTAACACCGTAAATCAACTATATACTTCAGTAAAATTTTCTTTTAAATCTAAGCAACTCTAGATTGTAGGAAATTCTACTCAATGAATGGAGTTTGACAATTATTTGGTTTTATACTTGCATATGTTGGGATTTTTCCCAGTGAAAGAGACACAAAATCTGAAGCACGGTAGGAATTCTATGAGTATTTTCCCGGAGCGTTTCTTTCTCATGTGTAAATTAGAACAAATGATATTTCCCCAACGAGGCAAAGATACAAACTCAAGTAACAGGATGGAGATCTCTGTATTTGCTCTTCCTTAAACTTAAAAAGTTGCTGAGGATGAACTTGATACATGTGAGGGCGGAATTAGTGCTAAATTATAAAAATGCATTTTTTCTCCAATCTTTGAAAAACCATTTAAAAATCCAGTCACCTGTAAAGAGTCTAACTAAAATCATCATGATCTGCTTTAACGTGGTCACCACCACCCTCTCCCCCCCACACACACCATGTCTTCTCATGATTCAGGTCAAAGGAGAAGCCAGTCTCACAGGGCATGTTCCTGTCCTCACCTGTAAGCTTCATCCAAGGACATATCCATCCTCTTCATGATGTAGGCAATGGCGATGGTGGCAGAGCGAGAGATCCCTGCCAAGCAGTGCACTAGGACACATCCATTGGAGGCTTTTGCTTTCTCTGTGTGAGTCAAATTCAGAAAGGGTCATTAATGACAACTTTGTCCGGCAGTGAAATCTTATTTCCATTTACTCACACAATGGCTTTCATCTGGCAACTTGAAGTAAAGCCCATCTATTTACCTATTTTTCCTTTTTTCAGTATTCTTTCAAGGAGGCAGGGGAAGATGATTTCCCCACGATTTACATATAGAACAATGAAGGTCCACATGTGTTAGTAAGCAGTGTGTCCCTAACTCGGGTTGCCTCTTATTCAGTACTTTTTCACCATGTATTTTTTACATTATTCTTTTAATAACTTTCCCTGAGTATAAATCACACATTGTGACCACGTGATTCTACTTGTTTAGTGTAGAAAACTTCAGAAATACAGAATAGTATAAAGAAAACATCCCAAATCCTAAGATTTAGCTAATATTTTGTTTACCTATGTTGTCTGATACTTAAGATTTTTTCGAATTATGTAAGAGATACTACATTTTTTCCAGCTTTGAGATATAATTGACATATAACATTGTACTTTAGGTGTATGACATAATGATTTGATATATATGAGTGATTAAATTAAAAAAATTTTTCTCATTTTAAACATATGCGACACATTAACTGTGTAAAAAGCAGGGAGGTGGGGACGGGGAGAGACTTAATCACAGTGACACCACATCACGACACAAAGAGATGCCAAGTCAAGCAATTTGTAAAATGCTGACTCATAGAATCCACCTTCCTATAATTTCCCTATTTTTCTCTGGGAGACTTTTCTGTGTGTCATAAAGTGGCTCACTTAACTTTACTTGCTGAATTTAAGAAAAGGCCATGGACAGCCTCTTCAATAAGTGGTGCTGGGAAAACTGGACAGGTACATGTAAAAGTATGAGATTAGAACACTCCCTAACAGCATACACAAAAATAAACTCAAAATGGATTAAAGACCTAAATGTAAGGCCAGAAACTATCAAACTCTTAGAGGAAAACATAGGCAGAACACTCTATGACATAAATCACAGCAAGATCCTTCTTGACCCATCTCCTAGAGTAATGGAGATAAAAACAAAAATAAACAAATGGGACCTAATGAAACTTCAAAGCTTTTGCACAGCAAAGGAAACCATAAACAAGACCAAAAGACAGCCCTCAGAATGGGAGAAAATATTTGCAAATGAATCAACTGACAAAGGATTAATCTCTAAAATTTACAGGCAGCTCATGCAGCTCAATAACAAAAAAATAAACAACCCAATCCAAAAATGGGCAGAAGACCTAAATAGACATTTCTCCAAAGAAGATATACAGACTGCCAACAAACACATGAAAGAATGCTCAACATCATTAATCATTAGAGAAATGCAAATCAAAACTACAATGAGATATCATCTCACACCAGTCAGAATGGCCATCATCAAAAAATCTAGAAACAATAAATGCTTGAGAGGGTGTGGAGAAAAGGGAACACTCTTGCACTGCTGGTGGGAATGTGAATTGGTTCAGCCACTGTGGAGAACAGTATGGAGGTTCCTTAAAAAACTACAAATACAAGTACCGTATGACCCAGCAATCCCACTACTGGGCATATACCCTGAGAAAACCAAAATTCAAAAAGAGTCATGTACCAAAATGTTCATTGCAGCTCTATTTACATAGGCCCGGAGATGGAAACAACCTAAGTGCCCGTCGTCGGATGAATGGATAAAGAAGATGTGGCACATATATACAATGGAATATTACTCAGCCATAAAAAGAAACGAAATTGAGCTATTTGTAATGAGGTGGATAGATCTAGAGTCTGTCATACAGAGTGAAGTAAGTCAGAAAGAGAAGGACAAATACCGTATGCTAACACATATATATGGAATTTAAGAAAAAAAAATGTTATGAAGAACCTAGGGGTAAAACAGGAATAAAGACAGAGACCTACTGGAGAACAGACTTGAGGATATGGGGAGGGGGAAGGGTGAGGTGTGTTAGGGCGAGAGAGAGACATGGACATATATATACTAACAAACGTAAGGTAGATAGCCAGTGGGAAGCAGCCGCATGGCACAGGGAAACCGGCTCGGTTCTTTGTGGCTGTCTGGAGGGGTGGGATAGGGAGGGTGGGAGGGAGGGAGACAAAGAGGGAAGAGATATGGGAACATATGTATATGTATAACTGATTCACTTTGTTATAAAGCAGAAACTAACACACCACTGTAAAGCAATTATACCCCAATAAAGATGTTAAAAAAAAAAAAAGTAAAAGTTAAAAAAAAAAAAGCAGCCATGTGTGTGCCATGAATCAATTTCAGTAGGTCACCTTAATGAGGACCAAGGGAACTCTGACCTCTTCCTTGATATCCAGGAGATACTGTCTGACTGCGTCACGCTAACTCCCCATAACATGGTAGAAGGACTCGTGAACACTGTTAGTTCAAGAACCAAGGAAATTTGATCGCACGGTACTGCCATCTCTCACTGTAGATGAGCGTTAAAAGCTTTCTCATGGACATGGATGAAGTTATCCCACAGCCTGGAAGCAACTACCATTTTAGCCAGTGCAGTGACTACCTTATATCTGAACAATTACGTATGTGCTTACCCTTTACCTACATGCTGCTGCCATGAGCTAAATTCTTCCCTTTTCATCCTTGTTTTCATTGATAACTACCAAAAGTTTACCAAACCTTATGTTAAAGTTCTTGTAATTAACAAGGTATCCAGGGAATCTGCTCTGGCAGCTGAGTAATACAATATACAATAATACTTCCATCTCACCACCTCTGTTATACATATAACAAATTCCCAACGTATAGGACTTAATTGTTTGTTACGTACAAAACACCATAGAGCTTTAAGGTACTACATGAACAATCAAGCAGCTTCCCTTTAGACAGGGAAATCAAACACAATAAAACAATAACAAACGAACACAAAACAACACTGAAACAAAGAAAAAAGGACACGCTATACAACCTAACAGTATATAAACACATGTACATAAAGTCCAAGCCTTCCTGGGCTACACAGCTCTCTTCCTCCTCTCAACTATTCAGTATTTAGCCCATACTGCTCTTAGTATTTCCTCTTTCACCTTGGCTGCTAAGAAGCTCAAAGCTAAGGTGTTCACTCAATTTCAAGAGATAACTAATTCTGATTTTACTCTGCCTTTCCTAGTCCCATATTACCTGGTCCTTGCCCTTCTGTCCCACTTTAATGGGTACGTGTGTGAATGTGTGTTATCTTTTGACCCCAACCTCTTACTGTAAGCTGCTTCAAATTCTTACTGGAAGTACGCTGGCTTTAAATATTTTTTTAATGTTGACAGTACTCTCTCATCATTTTTAATAATTATCATGAAACTAGACTAGGAGGACCAAGAAGGGTCTTGCTTCTAACACTCCCCCCAAAGGGTTTAACACTGCGCACATAGTGTGAACCCAGTAAATACTGGCTGGCTGGCTGATACATATTTTAAAAGGTAATCTTTATTAAAAATTTGAAAAAGGCTGGAAGGAAATAAAGCAATGATGATAACAGATGTGTTAGGATACTGAGGTTACAGGTTTCTTTTTCAAATGTTCTGCGTGGTACTTACACTGTTCTTACAATTACAACTGCTTTGATGATATATTTTAAAAATCTAACTAAAGTGATTACAGTGAAGTGGGGTTCATTAGAACACATTGCTTGGCAGGACTGAGTGCTAAACTGAGTCTCTTAAGGCAAAGGAAGTAATACCTGTCGACCTGGCGGAAAGGAGAAGGGAAACATTTGAGAAAGACCCACGGTGGGGCTGGACCACCACTCAGAAAACAGCCTTGGCTGGTGCACGCTGGGCGGGAAGTGACCAGAGAGGAGGGTTCGGAGGTGGGAAGCAGGTGTTGGAGCGTCTGGGAATGTTGGGCTACGGACTCGAGGCAATTAACGAGTCTCTGCAGGTTCCTGAATAGGGGGCAACAAGAAGGCACTGACGGGGAAAACTGGAAATAAAAAAAAGCAGGCTGGCACTACAACAATCCAGGAATTAAACAAGATGTATCTATTTTTTCAGTTTTATCTATTTTTCAGTTTTTTCTATTTTATCAATTCTAGGTTTAAAAAGAGAGAGGGGATAACAAATGAAATGGGTTAAGAGGGAGTCAGTGATGGGGAGAAGTTAAAGAGACTAAAAAGAAGGAAGAAATAACTGAGGTGACAGAGTACAGCTCTAAGAAAAAACAGAAAAGGACTTAGATAATTTTTAAAACAGTTACTATTTTTGTTTTTTTGCGGTACGTGGGCCTCTCACTGCCTTGGCCTCTCCCGTTGTGGAGCACAGGCTCCGGACGCGCGGCTCAGCGGCCATGGCTCACGGGCCTAGCCGCTCTGCGGCATGTGGGATCTTCCCGGACCGGGGCACGAACCCGTGTCCCC